TTGCATAAAAATCATATCCATTATGGATTTCTTTGAAAATCATTAAAGGGGATCTAGGGTTTGTCATTTGGGGATGAGATTGTTAAATTGATTGTTGTTTGGGTTAATTGGGGAGTAATCTAGCATGTTTATGTTGAAAGAAGAAAAAAACCTAATTTAATGTTTTGACTTGGTGAATTAAAAAGGTGTAAAGTTGAATAATGTATGTAAATTGTTATTATGGTTTGTGTAAATGGGTTTATAGTTAAAAGGGAGAATTAACTATAACTTTGGAATTATTTTGGATTGATTATATTAAGTTGAGTTAGGTTGTGACTTTGATATCCATAGATTTAATTTTGTGTGAAATAAAAAGAATGGATTGGGATAAAGGGTGGGGCATGTTAACTTGGAAAATAAGAGAATTGAATTTTAAAAAGGAAGAAGGAAATCATATGTGAATTTCAGAAATTAGCTTGAGGTTGGATTATGAATATTTATTTTACTATTGTTGATGTTGGATTTAAAATCTCATGAGAGTCAAATCATTATAATACGTGTGTTGAAATACATACATTTAGAGGTTTTGTCCTTGGTCATCGGTGGAGGATGACATTATTGCGTTGAATAGTTTATGTGTATGCATTACACTTGTTGGTTGTACTTTGTCATGTTGTGATGGTTGGTATATTGCGCTTAGAATGAGAGGTACCATTACCTTCTAGCTAGCGCTTGGAGAATTGGCCGCGCTTAGGATGAGAGGTACCAGAACCTTCCAGCTAGCGCTTAGAAAACTTGACAGAGGTACCATTACCTTCCAGCCGGTGTCTGGTAAATTGGCATTCCATTGTGGAAAGGTGTATCCTTGGCTTACCGTGCTTAAAATAGGTAGAGCAGAATTTATTCATCATTATTGTCTCAGTGTATCTAGATATATCATGGGTTATGATGGTTATCATTCTAGAAGGCCGTATTGCCTCAATTGTTGAAGCAGATAGTTATTGATTGCTTGTTGTTTTCCTTTTGTATTAAAGACATACTTATATAGGTATGAATGTGTTGGAAACAGACTTAAGTATTGTGTTGAGATTGTGAAAAATGTGAAAGACTTTGAATACTTGTGAAAATGTTTTAAAAAGGCAAATCAGGTATAAGTTTGGAAAGTGAGAGAAAATGTAATGGGCTTGGTGAAATTGTTTTTCTTCAGAAATTTGTTATAGTCATATGAATATTGGAAAAAGGTAACAAGAAGAAAGAAAAGTGAATTACTTATGTTATTGAATGAAATGAACGATTTGGAGAAAAGTTCTTGTATACGTATATTTATGTATAAACCATCACATTATTTATACAGTATGAGACTAAGCATTCATGATCATAGCTATCTGTAAGTTGTTATTGTTTAGGATCATGTTGAGATCCCTACTAGACTTTATGTTCATCCCATGTTGCTAATCCTTTTTCAGGTGAACATCGAGAAGTGTTCAGGTCATGGATCTTCTTTACCTGTTTGCCACGGGGCCTTTTGTTGTGGGCGAAATGCCATTGATGTAAAAGGGTTAAACCCTTTCTCTTCATTTAGAAGATGTAAGCCTACGGGCAATTTATTTAATTATAACTCTTGTTGCATTAATATTGTATTCGGATGAGATAATCTTTATTTATGTGTTCTTACAAATATAAAGAGTTTCCATTTGTTATCTCTAAAATTGAATCTATAATAATGGTTTGATAATGGAATCCGAGTAATAAAAAGGCGGGGCGTTACACAAGGAAACCCACATTTAATTTCTTAAATGTTCAATTCCACGAACCCAAAAACGACGTCAAGTTCTCATTCACTCATAAATGGTTTTGACGAACCATCTTCACCGTGTGACTTGCCACACGGCAAGGAACACGTCACCTCTTCGGACCGACCCCAAAAGACGAGTGGACCCCACTCAATTTATTGCTCAAAGTTGGCCCAAAATAAACCTATAAAAACCAATTTTCCAGCACCTTGAACTTATTATATCCGAGTATAGCGAACAATAACACCACTATGTCGGAGGCCAACCCATCAAACTTCCCACATATCCCATTAATCAACTCTGTGAATGTCAGCACTTGATGAAGACGAACGACATCGTTCATTAGGCCGTATGTACACAACAACAAAATACCGACCTCCATGCTTGCAATTAAAAAAAAAACACTAAAAAACCCAAATTAGCACGTTGCCAGAAACCTCTTTGTCCTTCGACCGAAATAAACACACACACACACACACACACACACGAGTTACCCATGACACCAAACACATATACACAAAACAAATCTCAGAATAACAAACACACACACACACACCTACCTTGAGCGGAAAAAAAAAATCAGAATACCGTCGGCACCGAAACCCATAACACCACGATAGAATTCTCAGACTAGCAAAATCAAATTCACAGCCCAATAAATCCACATCAACAATCTAACCAATCCCTCTGTAAATCACTAAATCAAATATATTACCAACGGAAATGTAAAAATATGTTACCACAAATGAACAAAAACCACATCAGCCTAGAATCTACTCAATCTCATAAAAATGATAAATATGTAAACTATAACAATATCAAATCAAATAAAAAGATCCCTACCCAACTAAATAGGACCAAACAATTCATAAGAAAAAATACAGGACCAAATGGAACAACATTCCCTAATTTGGGATTTATCGCTAATTTTCCCTTTAAGGTATGTATTTTCTTCTTAATCCAATCACAAAATATTTATATTTAATCTTTTAAATTTTTTGTGTGTAGTTTATTTATACATAATTTTATTTTCATAATAAAAATAAAAATAAAAATAAAAATAAATAATTAGAATCACTTTTAATTTTGTATTACTAATTCTCTTTTTAATTTAACTATTATTTTTAATATCAAAATGAGTGTTTATTTTATTATCTTATAATTTAATATATATCATATAAAATCATTATATGATAATTATTATATATAAGTATTCAAGTAATACTTTTATAGAATGATAAGACTAAAATTATTAAAATAAATAATAAAAATAAAAATTTTATTTTTAAATTAAAATTAAAATTAAAATTATTCTTTTATAACACATATCATAGTATAAAATATCATTACATTAATTGAAATTAACTCTATTGTGATTTTTTTTTGTCAAACATCACATTTCTAGAAGTGTTTTATATACACGTGTAGCGTCCAATTTGATATTGATTGATTAAACGAATGGAACTTAGTTTTTTTTTGGTTAAGTTTTAGAAGATAAATAGACAAGTGTCAAATGATAAATAGTGTGGAGTATAATTAAAGATTAATGATTCATCGAAAATGATTGTGTATATTTAAGACACTCATTGATATTTCTTAAATAATTCTTAAATAAAAAATTTGACTTGATAATATTACTAATAATGCACCTTCATGAGCTCTGTCACAGAAGATATGCAAAAATAATTGGGCTAGAATAAAAATTTTGCAGTTATTATGATGTGTTATATAATTAATCAAAATCCGTTTGAGAATTGAAATTGTTAAGATTACATTTTGTGTCTGATTCCTTTTGAGGACACTGTTTATGATTTGAATTTATAATTCTTTCTACATTAATGTCAATAACTCTTTCAATTTTACTGATATAAGCATAAATCCTACCTTTGAGTCAACTAACCTTAAGCACTTTTTTTGTGTAACAAAATACTTAAATATTGTCATATAAAAATATTATAATAGATCATAATCAAACACCTTTTGAAATATAATTAAAGACCCTATACATCACTTTAGACATAACCAAAAACATAAGAAATTAGTAAAGGTATTTTCGATTAACAACTAAAATAATACACTATGAGTTATATACCAAGTCATAATTTGTATATTATAGAATTTTCATTGTTTTTATTTTTTTTTTCAGAAAAAAATATTTTGATACAAGTGAATTCATGATTTTTGGTAAATTTGATTAACACAAATGAGAATTTGATTTCAGGTTGAGAATATACCATTTTTTTAAACTTTAAAAGAAACTGTTCTTATGAGCCTATTTTACATAGGATTACACACAGTGACAATAATTTTCATCAATCATTAGCACATCTGTTTGTATTTGACTTTCAATTATTAAATTTTTTTACACGTAAAGTATTAAAACTCAAAATTAATTTTTCATTTTAAAAATAAATTCTCGTGCATCGCACGGGGTTATCTACTATAGTTGAATATAATTTAGGAGAAATATATATATATATACATAAAGGTGAGAGGTAAAAAAAAATAATTGTAAACCAACTTGAAAGTACAAAATAACTTGTTAACATTAACAATGTGTTAATTGAATAAAAAGATACTTACCATTCTATCTCTGAAGCCTCCTTTGCACCGTCTCGTCCTCAATGCAGTTGTCACATAAAATTATTATTTTTATTTATTAAGAAATAAAAAATCGGAGCTTAAATTAATAAAATTAAAAATTTAGAGTTTGTTTTGTTACAAGATTCCAATCCTAAATAACAAATAAGATAACGACACCTTTGAAGAAATTTTTTCTGGGGAAATTGCACTTCAATGCAAGTTTCCAATTTTTTTTTTTTTACAAATAGATGAATAAGTTTATCAATTTTAATAATTAAACTTTCAAGTTTTTCCATGAATTTGTAAATAGTTTGTAGAAATATCACTTATTTGTAATTTTTCCAAAAAAGTTCTCCATTGCATCCTCTAGACGGAAGTAAATGGGCAAATCATTAAAAATCCATGTTCCCAACCAAAAATAAAAATGCATGGATTAAGATGAAACAATTAAAATTTTAAGATTTAATTTTTGACAAGACAGTGAAATTTTTCCTAATATATTTTGTTTCAATTTTAGCATTTATTAAAATATGAATTGGACTTTCCAATAACAAATTATCGAGGCATATCCACCCACAGAAAATAAAATATAAAAAAAATCAAATAAACAAATTTCATGTATTTTCCTTTTTAATTAATTTCTTGAAAGTAGAATAAATTCCTCCAAATAGAAGCTATATTTTCATACAACAAGCAGGTCATGAGTATATAGTCATGCTCAATAATTTACAAAATTAACTAGCCTTGTAATAAAACAAACATTTCATAGCAAAAAACATATTGCAATCCATCCGAACACACAATCCACAATACAATTACCGATGAAAATAAATATTTATGAAGTTATTTCATCATTTCAACAAATACATAGAGGGCCTAGTAACAGTTGGTGCTGATAGCTCCGTATGCTCTAAACTCGCTGCTCGTGTGTCTCTTAGGCGTGGCCTAACTTCCTGGAAAACATAGCAAAAAAATGGAAACAAAAAACAAAAAATAAAAAAACGACAATGTGATTATCAGTTATGTTAAAGCCAACTAAATATTGACTAGCCATCAATATAGTTTATAAACAGAGGATTAATTCAGTATCATTGAACAAATACGGCACAACCTTAATGCTTTTGTTAGGTTTGCAATGGCATAGCACATCATCATCACTGTTATTACAAGATTTGCAAAATTATTGTAGGAGTGAATGACTTCTGCAAGAAAAGAAAAGAAAAGAAAAAAAAAATGCATATAGGAATAGAAGTTGGATATAATCAAACAGAAAAGGATCAGAAGGTAAAGCTAATTTTTGGATCATTTTATTTATCAATGACAACTAAACATATAGTGGATGTCAAGCCATTGCTTGGTAAAAAATTAGGGTGGCAATAGAAGTTACCATATAGATAGATCTTGAGACCAATGAGCTGAAGATTGCTTGCAACATAGACCTGCACATGTGTATTATAATTATAAAATAGACCTAAGAAAACCCACAAAACTCAAGCAAATAGCAAGTGTGTGCTTAAATCAGCTTATGCAGGATTTGAAGAAAAAAAAATGTCTAACTTGTTAGCAAAGATCAAGACACAAAAAGATAAGACAACAAAATTGAAAAAAAATACTTACCGTTTACCTCTGAAGCCTCCTTTGCAGTCTAGCCATACCCAGTGCACCTGTAACATAAAACCAATTCTTTATCCGGTCCCAGAACTCGAAATAGTCATGTCTAGATGGTTTGTTAAAAATCATAGTGCCAAAAACTGTCCAAAATCCAAGGGTGAAACCTAGCCCCATGCTAATGTAAAATCCAGTGGTAATAAACTTGTCATCATCTTCTTGAACAAGAACTGGAGGTTCCACAACTATTTCTTCTCCTGGACATTTATTTGGAAGTGGAAGCCCACAAAGTTCAGGGTTTCCTGAGTATACAGAGGAATCAAAGCTTTGCAATTGAGTGCTTATTGGGATTTTTCCTGACAACCTGTTATTTGATAAATTCAACACACTGAGAAAATTTAGATCAGCGAGGCTGGTAGGAATTGTGCCAGAAAGCTCATTTGTAGACAAGTCAAGAGAATCCAACAATTTCATATGACCAACTTCTTGGATGATATTTCCTGTTAAACTGTTTTGTGATAGGTTCAAAGAAACCAACCCTACAAGACTCCCAACTTGTTTAGGAATTTTCCCAGCAAGTTTATTGCTAGAAAGATCAATGCTTTTTAGTAGTCCCAAAGTAGTTCTGTATTCCGATTCTTGTCCTTTCCACAGCACCAAAGCATTGTCAATATAGCTGCCACCTTGATAACCTTTGCCAAGAAATGTCAAATAATAAAAAGAAAGGGTTGCACTAGAACTCTTACTTTCCACCATGGCTGTAAAATTGTCGAAACAGTTTGGTATCTTTCTTGATAAACGATTTTGGGAGAAGTCCAAAATTTGAATTTGGTTAAGATGACATATATGTCGAGGGATGCTTCCCTCAAACTCATTGGATCGTAGACTCAGAACAATTAAACTTGTTAGGTGTGCCTCTATCCATACTGGTACTTTTCCTGTGAATCTATTTCCTCCCAAATCAATCATCTTTAACTTTGTGCATCTCTTTAGTGAAGAAGGAACTTCCCCAGAGAAATTGTTGTTACGCAAGTGCAAAGTTTGAATCTGGCCTAGGGAACCCATTGAGCTCGGAATTTTTCCATACAAATTATTGTATGCCAAATTAATGATGGATAGTGCTTTGAGGTGCACCCAACTGCTCGGAAGCTCTCCTGATAGTAAGTTATTTGAGAGGTCAAGATAGGTGAGCTCCATACCCGTATTTGCACATAAGAAAGAAAGTGAACCTGAGAACTTATTTTTGGAGAGATTCAAAAGTGTTACATTAGGAGGAACTAGTGGTATTGGACCCATGAAATGATTCGAACTTAAATCTATAGTAGGATAGCCACGATACTTCAATGAGAGATCAGGTAACAAGCCTTTGATCAGATTGTTAGAGAGATTTAAAGAAATCAAACCTGGGGATAGATCCCATAACCAATTAGGAACAACATCTGAAATTCCATTACTTGAGATATCAAGCTCAGAGAGGTTATTTTGCGTTTGAAGCCATTTTGGAAAATGAGGCCCTAGCTTACAAGATGACAACATTATAGTATCGAGTTGGAAAGGAGGAACCCAATCAGAACTGAAGTTAAAAGTTAATGAGTTTGAAGAAAATAACAAATACTTCAAACTGGAGAGATTAGAAAAGTGAGTCTCAGAGACTATGCCTTCTAACGAATTGGAAGCGACACTGAAAAACTCGAGCTTGGAAAGTTTTCCAATATCTATAGTAGGATAGCCACGATACTTCAATGAGAGATCAGGTAACAAGCCTTTGATCAGATTGTTAGAGAGATTTAAAGAAATCAAACCTGGGGATAGATCCCATAACCAATTAGGAACAACATCTGAAATTCCATTACTTGAGATATCAAGCTCAGAGAGGTTATTTTGCGTTTGAAGCCATTTTGGAAAATGAGGCCCCAGCTTACAAGATGACAACATTATAGTATCGAGTTGGAAAGGAGGAACCCAATCAGAACTGAAGTTAAAAGTTAGTGAGTTTGAAGAAAATAACAAATACTTCAAACTGGAGAGATTAGAAAAGTGAGTCTCAGAGACTATGCCTTTTAACGAATTGGAAGCGACACTAAAAAACTCAAGCTTGGAAAGTTTTCCAATATTTCTGTGCATGGTCCCATTCAATTGATTGTGTCCAAGCTGTAACTCTGTCAATGAGGGAAACATTGAAAGGTCAGGTAGTGACCCTATAATTTGGTTTCCATATAACCGAAGATAAACAAGACTACGAAGTTGTCCAAAAGTTTCTGGGATGGACCCACTTAATTGATTATAGCCAACAGACAATTCTCTTAAGGAAGAAAATCTTGTAAAATCAGGCAATGGACCACTAAGTCGATTGTCATCCACAAGCAAAGCCTGCAGTGAGCCCTCTACCCCAGACAACTTTTGAAGGAACTGATGAAATTCTTCAGTTAAATTGTTTCCAGACAGATGTAAAGATTGCAAACGAGTTAAATTTGCAAAGGATTTTGGAAGGGCACCTTCAAGATGATTGTAACCAAGACTGATATTTGTGAGGGAAATCATGCCTCCAAAAGAATCAGGAATCGGACCTTTTAACTGGTTACCAAAAAGGTCTACATCGATAAGGCTACTACTAAAGTTGAACAACCAACTGTATATTGAAGAAGAGAGATAATTGCCAGATAGATCAAGTACAGAAAGAGACATGGAAAAATTAAAAGGAAGTGAGGGATGAGTGATGTCAGGAAGTCTACAATCCCTTAAACTTAACTCTTTTAGGAGGGGGAGATTATTGATAGATTGAATCCAGTCGACTGCTTTACTGAGGTTAACAGAACTAAGGTCCAAGTGACTTAATAAAGAAAGATGAGAAAGCAGCTCAAGATTTTCACACTTAAGATTAGAATTGTAGCCAAGATTAAGATACTGTAAGTTAGAAAGGTTGCTTAACTTTGTGATGTGACTATGAAAATTGTTTCCACTGAGGTCCAAATACTTCAAATGTTGCAATTCAAGCAATGAAGTACTAATCTTACCATGCAGTGGATGATAAGAAGCATCGAACGATAAATGAAGATCGAGCATGGTGACATGACCAGTGTGGTTGTTGCACCCAACTCCATTCCATTCGCAACAATCTTTTTTATCTTCTTCACTCCCCCAAGATGAGAGACGACCATAATCATCGATAAGAGCATCTTTAAACTTGAGCAGAGCTTGTCTTTCCCTCTCTATGCACTTGGTTTTAGCATCTTCTTCAACTCTTGAGGAGAGTCCAGGAGCAGGTTTCATGCATAGTAAAAGTGAAACAACGGCAAGCACATGGAGAAATTGATGAAAATTTTCAACCATCACCATTTTCATGAACATGTTCATGATAAGATGATGCAGCAAAAATTAATACCAAGATGAAGTAGCAAATACACCAAGAAATGAGGATTTGCAATTTTTGGTTTTCTGATTTTTATTTGCCATGGAATGACCACCTTTTATATTGTAGTTGCACCAATAATTGTCAACTCATTCAAGACTTTTTTTTTTTTTTTTTAAATTTTTTTAAAACCGGTTGGAAAGTATTTACAAAAAAGAGAACTATTCTATCAATCACATCACTAGCCTAACAATAGTTAAAAAGTCAATCATCACCAAACCGAACAATTAATCACCAATCACCATACTCAAAACTCAACAACCATCATTATTTACATATGATACAACCCCCATAATGAAAAAGAAATAAACAACACAAATATCATACTCTTATCCATAAAAGTTAAACCACAATCACATATCACAAAATACTATGCAACCACTAAGTTAAAGGGTCGAGTGGTTAATTCAAGATTTGGTTGCTTGAACACGCTTGTCATATATTGCTACTTTGAAATCCCACTTTGTTTAGTAGAATTTTGGTGATTTTGCGAAAAAATAATGTATAAGAAAGAAATTTAGGAGCATCTTTCAAAATAATTTTAATTTTCATAGAGGTGTAAGTGGATCAGTATAAGTAAAAATTATGACATAGCATACAACTCCCACTTGCATCCACTAGGAAATAATAATAATAATAATAATAAGAGAATATAATTTTCTGTAACTAAAAGTGGCAAATTAAAGGGGACAAGGTACAACTACCTTAGTGACTCTGAATTTTCAGCAATTAAATTTAGACTATTTTTGAATAATGAAAAAAAGATTAAAAAACAACTTAAAAATAAATAAGAATGGTTTGTAAGAATGTTTTCAAACACATTTCTTTTGCCATTTTAACCATGTTCTTAGACCATGTGAACAATTCATTTGGATACTCCGAAATATTCCCCAACTATGTGCGTGGAAGATATGTATGTCATTTGGTGTGAATTTCATCAAACGTATATTTTCAAAATTGTTTTACAATTGATGACTTCAAAATTGTCTTACGAAAAAATTAAACTGATTCAGATATTTAAATCTCAAAAAACATAAATAAATTTTATTCATCTTTTTTATTTATAAATTATATATTTTTTATAGGAGCATTATGTGTGTACCAGTCGCTAGTATGGGCATTGTGTTTGTTCAATTTATGTGATAGGATTAAACAAGAAAACAAATTAATCTCCCAAAAATTAAATCCTGAGAGGCCGAATATGTTATCCTAAACCCTGCCCTTATCCTAGTGACCATTTGTGTAAACAAACAAGGGATAAGGCGCAAGTTTTCCTATCCTGACCCGTTATCCACAGTTCTCTCTTTTTGGGTTTAATTTGCCTAATCTAACTTCTTTATGTTGGATTTCTATCAATTCTTTTGTAAAATTTCTCTCAATTCTTTTGTAAAATTACTCTCTATTCTTGGTAAATAACACTTTGGTTCACATAATTTTTTTTTTTCTTGGTTCTGTTTCATTGTAAATTTTAAAATTGAAATTTCTCAAACCAAAGTCAACTTGAATAATAAGATCCCACGTAAATAACCAACAGCTCTTAAATTCGAGTCTTTTTCACTTGATATGTGAAGCTAGCCCTGATCGTACATATCTAGGATTTACCTTAGTCTCATAGAAGGTAAGGTCATGGATTCCTTATAAACAACACAATAAGATTACATTTATCAATTTTTTATATCATATTATACGTATCTTTATTATCTTACTTGTCAATATAATAAGTTCCACCACTAACATATATCTCTAATGTAATACTAACAATTAGATTAACATATCAGATGATACAATAATGTGGTCGAAATAGATAATTATTCTAACATTACTTTTAAAAAAAGGTTGAAAAATCTCAATAGCCAATTTCACCAAGCCCAATTGGTTTGTTGGAAAATTTTGTAGTCTTAATGAAATGACAGATATTAGAGGGCATCTATGGCTATAATGCAAGTCAAGGTCATACTTGAGTAACCAGGGGTGGTGGGCCTAGTGGGTGACAACTGGGGCCTGTAGGTTTGCTCCTTCTCAAGTCTCACGTTCGAATCTCTTATTCAGCAAACGCATATCTTGGGGTCATAGACCACAGGGTACCAGTCCTGTTTCGAAAGGTTTTTTCGGCCTGTAGGAACTTAGTCTGGTTGTCATACTTGACTGTAATGCAACCTTGTCTCATCACCAATCACATTCAGTCCAAATTATACTTTGAAATGTATTTAATTGGTTAATGGTAAGAAATTGACTTTTGAAAATTTTGTGAAAATTCTATCAAAGCGAGTGGCGTGATTACAGGCCGGTCTGACTGCGTGAGGGTCTAAGGCGACTTTAAAAATGAAGGCCCTTCTATAAAAAAATAAAAAATAAAAAAAAACTTTGTTTAGATTTTTTAGTTTGACCAACACAAAATTTCTTTACATATATAAATACTAAAATTAGTAATTTCTTACATGTTCTATGCACGAAAATTATTTACAATATTAGGTTATTTGAAAATATTGTATTAGTGAATAATTTGATTATAATTTATTTTTTACAATAATTATAATATTGCATTTTCTGAACAATTTTATTTAATTTTTATAATTCACATAATCATAGTTACTGAGGTAGACATAAATCATAATTAATGAAATAGATTTTGGATATTTTTTATGGGTAACATTATTAACCTTCAAATTGACTATGGTGTGTTTAGGGTTGTAAATGAATAAGACTGTTTATAAACAAGTTTGAACTTGGCTCAATAAGGGTTCATTTGAACTCGATTCGTTATTTTATTTTTTTTTTACGTTCGAGCTCGATTTTGAGTTTGTTAAAATCTTAATAAATAAATCCAAACATACTAAACTCGGCTCATTAGCGGACTCATTTAACATTTATTATTCATATATTAAATAATATAAAAATATGAATAAAAAATAAAATAAATATGTTATTTATATATTTAAGAAATGTAAATGTAAATAATAGCTAACTATATATAATGCATTTATATAATAGTAGTGGTAGATATAATTATTTTAGTAAAATATTTACTTTTCTTTTAGTATGTTTATATATATTGTATATATAATTGTATAATCAAAGTTTCAATTATAATTTTAGTCTCATAAGCAAATATAAATTTATAATTTTTTGGACTCGTTAAGGATCATGAACAGGCTCGACCTCGAGTCAAGCCTAAGCCAACTCAGCTAGAGCTTGGTTCGTTAAATTTTTATTGAACTCAAACTCGAACTCGAACTTGTTAAAATCTTAATAAACAAG